GATACCAACAATAGCTGATACTAGTATATTTATGGGCCATCAGACTTCCTGTGTTTTGCACACATCAGCTTGGTTATTGCTCACAACAATACTTTTATCTCCACTTTACAGATGAAAAAACAGAAGCATCGAGAGGTTAATGGACTTGAAGGTGTTCACTGTGCCAGTAAGATAAGCACCCAGGAGGCAGCAGAGTCAGGATTAAAGCTTGGCAGCCTGGGTTCATAACCTCAGCTCTTGACCACAACCTTCCTCTTCACTAGGCTGGCAAAGTGGCTTTTAGGAATTCATAACATGGAGGTCAACTAGCCCATTGGAACAGAGGACATACAAGCTGAATGTTGAAAGCTATGATAATCTAGACCACAGGTGGGCACTACTGCCCTGTGGCCTGCTTTTGTATGTACCACCTCTCTCCACAGCTAGAAATAATTTTTACATTTAAAGGATTGTAAAGAGAGACAGATACAGGCAGTCCCCAAATTACCATCAAGTTCTGTTCTTAAGTCTGTCTTTAAGTCAAATTTGTACATAAGTGGGAACAGTTAGGTGCAATTCATATCATAAAACCAGTCAGTCCAGTATTTTTCATAGTATATAGTTTATTGGACTGCTAAAAGAACTAACAGATCTGTCCTGGAGGAAGTGCAGCCAGAATGCTCCTTGGAAGCAAGAGTGGCCAGACTTTGTCTCACCTATTTTGGTCATGTTGTAAGAAGGGACCATTCCCTGGAGAAGGATGTCATGCTTGGTAGGGTGGAGGGTCGACGAAAGAGAGGGAGGCCTTCAACGAGATGGATTGATACAGTGGCTGCGATGATGGGCTCGAGTATAGCATGGATTGTGGGGCTGGCGCGGGATCGAGCAGTGTTTCGTTCTGCTGTGCATGGGGTCGCTATGAATCGGAAACGACTCAATGGCACTTAACAACAACAACATATAGTTTATAGTGTACCTTTCTAAGCATAAAAAACATTAAAAAACCACTTCCAGATACACTAAAACATCTTTAATGTAATACTACAGCAATAATAGTGATGCTTTGATGCATGGTGTGGCACCTGTTTGCTATTACAAACCATTGTATGCACCTCACATTTTTAATGTAATAGGCCTTCTGGGGGTTGGCTCATAACTGCAGGTTGTACATAAGTCAGGCGCTCATAACCCAACAAGGTCAGACATCCATAACTCAGGGCCTGCCGGTAGCAATATATAACAGAGAGCATATATGGTCCACAAAGCCTACAATATTTACCATCTGCCTTTTTAGAGAACACGTACTCCAGTCTTTAACTTCGATGCCTTAAAGGAAAGGACGGAAGGCACAGCACATGCGAAGGCTTGGAGGCTTTTGGCAAGATCAGGTGATTTGCATGGCTGGCGACCATAGGGGAGAGAGCATTTGGAGAGGAAATGAGTAACCAGGCAGGGCAGGTTCCTCTTAGTGGGGCCTGCTAAGGATTTAGACTGTATCCTAAAGGCATTGCACAGCTTGCACTTGTGTTAACCAAGAAAGGAACACTTTGTTTTTCATCTTGGAGACAGTTGGCCAGTTGTTTGGGAGTAGCTAGTCTGTTCATATTGATGATCCCAGTGCTTGTTAGTGACTCAAGCTCTGGATCTGAACTGCTTTGTTTGTCACCTGGCTCTTGCATTTCTTAGCTGAGGAACTTTGAGCAGATTACATGACCTCTCTGTGCCTCAATTCCTAATCTGAAACACTCTGAGAACACCGTACTCGTTCACACTTCATAAGATTGTACTGAGAATTAAAAGAGCTAACAGTGTGTGCTGTGGTGCCTGGCACACAGTGACTTCTCAGTAAGTGTTAACTTTTTGTGACAGAATAGAGTGAAAACATTGCACAAGAAAATTAAAACTGGTTAATGTTGGCTGTTTACAGATATTTTAAGGTGGTCCATTTCCAAATTGACTTTTTAAAACTTTGTCAAACACATGAAGAAACATAAATATTCTATAGGATGACCCCTATGCAAATGCACATTGAACGTGGATTGCATTGTCTTCTGTATTCAGAGTGCCTTGCGTGATCAGAGTGACCCTGGTTGCTGACCAGGCAGGTCTGAACTTGAAGCCGTCTTCACAATGAGTGTGGGCTGCAGCTCTTTCCTCTCAGAGACAGCTCAGGAGCATCACAGTAGAGAGGAGTGGGGAGCTGGAAATCAGACTGTCTGGGCGCCAGGCCCAGCCTTCCTCCTGCTTGTGTGCCTTCTGACAATTCTCTTTACTCCTTGAGAGACCGGATGGCCTAGTGGTTAATTGAGTGACTCACACACTCCAAAAAAAAAACAAACAAACAAACAAACAAAACACTGCCATCGAGTTGATTCTGACTCACAGCAACCCCTGTTGGGTTTCTGGGCTGTAAATGTTTATGGCAGCAGACAGCCTCATTTTTCTTCCACAGAGTGGCTGATGGGTTCAAACCACTGACTTTCTGTTCAACAGCTAAGTGCCTTACCCACTGCACCACCAGAGCTCCTTGGGTTGCACACTACCTCTATTCATCTAATAGTGTGTAGTTTTCATCCTTTTCTGAAAACTGTAACCACGTGGGAGGCATTCATAAAACGCCTTCCATAGAGTGTGATGTATAGCTTATGGACAGGGGCCCAGGCCTTGGTATTATCTTCTAAAACTCCTCAGTGATACCAATGAGTGGCAGGTCGATACTTAAGAACATGGGCTCTGGACCATTATAATTCTGGCTGTTCCACTGGCTAAATGGATAATCATGAACCAGGAACTTAAGATCTCATTGACTCAATATTCTCAGCTGTTGAAAGGAGTCACACATTGTCCCACCCTTGGGTCGCTGGGAGGGTGAATGAAGTCCTCCATCTAAAGCATGGGATTGGCTCTCGCTTTCTCACCACCTTTTCTATTTCCTTTTCTACCCTGGGTGCTCTCTGACCCTCAGGCCGTTTCAATGTTTCCATGACCCCCCTGTATGTAAGTACTGACCTCAGGCCTCATTTTCTCATTGAGCCCATCTGACGCACTTCCTCATCCAGAGTCTACATTTTGGGGCCCCTTCCGTGTTCTTTCAGAGGACCCCATGCAAACTCTATTCATATGTACAGTTTATTCTGACATAGCATCACCGCTGACTAGAGATCTGGGAACTGTAGCCCATTTAGAAGGTGATCCATAAGTACTGGTTAAATGAAAGACAACTCAGCTCTTTCACTGCTAAACCATTCAGCCAAGTTAATACTTGTTGGGGTAGCCTTGCTGCCCTTTTGTACGTGTGGAGTCTATTACAACAGCTGATGTGAGCAGGGACTTGGAGACAATGAGGGCCCTACCAGAGTAGCAGAAAGCCTCTCTCTAAGATGTTGCTAAAAGGCTTTGTCTTATCCGCAGCCTATGCTTAGCCCTTAGTGGAGTTCTTTCTTCTTCACGGATGACCTTGAAATTGCTTGAGAACGGTAAATAAGGTAACAGACCTGGAGGAAAAATCCAAGAAATTATACTCCTAGTCTCCAAACCCTCTCAAGGGTTAAGCACTCAGCCAACATTTTACATAGATTAGTACATGATCTGCCAGCCAACACTGTGACTTTGTTCATTTGAGACAGAGGGCCGCACTTTCATTTAGCCTGAGAAATACAGTAGCCTCCAGTTTTCATTGGCCTTTTGTTGTGTCCGTGTGCATGGCAGAAGTGGGACATGTTGAGCCTCTCTGGCTTCTGGAAGAATATTCACCAGCTGTTCAACTTTTTAGAAGAATGGTCTAAACAAATATCAATGTCTAAACAAGTTTTATCACCGAGTCAACAACTTACTAAGTAAGAAGCCAGAGTTGCAGACCTTGCAGAAGCTCTGGGTGACTTCCCACGGACAGCAATGCTCTGTGCTATGCAGACTTTTCACTGCACATGTTTACAAGGAAAGTTTTGGTGGTTTTTTTTTTTTTTTTTAATTTTTTGTTGTGATTTCGGTGAAAGTTTACAGAGCAAATCAGTTTTCCATTCAACAGTTCACACACAGCTTGTCTCGCAATCCCTCAATTTAACATCACTCCTCCCACTTCCTCCCTATGTTACTGGTTTCCATTCCTCATTTTCTCCTAACCCTTCCCGCCTTTTGAACTTTGTTCTTCGGCAAATCCTTCCCTTTTGTTCTGGAGTGGTTGGTGGTTCTAAGAAGTGTGTACCTCCCTGGTGTTATTGTTCATCTTGTAGACTGTCTATTGTTTGACTGAAACTTGAGCCACAGGGATGAGTTCAGTTCAGATCCAAAGGGTGAATGGGGGCCATAGTCATGGGGGTTCCAGCTGTCTCTGTAAACCCAGGAATCCTGGGCTTTATGATGTTGAGTTTTGTTCCGCATTTTTTTCCACTCTGTCCAGCACCTTCTGATGTAACCCCTTTCAGAGCAGTCAGTAGTGGTGGCAGGGCACCATCTAGTTCTTCTGGTCTCAGGATTGTGGAGGCCCAGGTTCATGGGCAGTTTCATGATGCAAAATAGTGTCTGCATCATGAAGAACCTGGATAGAGTTATAACAACTTTCTGTTCCTCACACATACCCAGCTAACAACAACCCTACAACGTTGGCATTATTACCAATGATCCTAATTTTGCAAATGACAGGACTGAGAGAGCTTAGCTAACTTCACTGAGGCTACTCAGCTAGTTCAGCAGTGCCAGGTTTTGAACACAGGCGTTTTGTCCCAAGTCTACTCTTCGCCAGTACGTTCTACCATCTCTCCTTTCCTACATCTCCCAGGACCAGAATGAACTCCCTGGGAGCTTGGAGAGGTGTGGGGGCTGGGTACAGCTGGGCAGGTTGTTCCAGGCACCAGGGCATCCAGTCAGGGTAGCCTCATAGCTGGAGTCCAGCTGCACGCTGCTCCATCCGCCATGTGTGGCCTCCTCTAATTTGCACAAAGATACTTTTGCCTTTCTCTCATGGCTTCTACCTTATCGTCCCTTCTCAGGTCTCTGCCTTTCCTTTGAAAAAGGAGGAGAAAATGACCAAGTTCCAGGTGAGTTAGGTTTTTATTTCTGTCATGTCTTTTTTTCTCTTGTTGCCAAGGGTGAAGAATTTAATACCATGTATGAACATGTTTCCTGCCCCCCCCCCTTTTAAAGCATTTTAGTTTTTATTTGCTGTATTACCATTTTTATCCTTTCAGTAATACTGTAAAAGAAGGAACCCTGGTGGCACAGTGATTAAGCACTCGGCTGCTAACCAAAAGGTTGGTGGTTGGAACCCACCAGCGCTCTGCAGGAGAAAGATGTGGCGGTCTGCTTCCCTAAAGATTTGTGGCCTAGGAAATTCTGTAGGGTAGTTCTATGAGTCAGAATTGACTTAATGGCAATAAGTCCTGTTGGGTCACGTTAACAAAAGAGAATAGAAATAAAAAATGAGAAGGACCTCATACTTTATTACCCTACTGACAAATGACTTGTTTTTTCCATGGTCATTTTTTCTACACCTTCATAATAATGCTTGTAATAATAGATACAATTTTTGTGCTCTTTTAAGAGCTATTGGGAGCTCTGGTGATATAATGCCTAAGGCATTTGACTGCTAACCAGAAGGCTGGTGGTTCAGACCCACCAGCCACTCCTTGGAAGGAAGAGTGGGCAATCTACTTCCTTAGAGATACCACCTCGGAAACCCAAGGAGGGGTTGCTATGAGTTGGATTCAACTCCGCAGCAGTGAGTTTGTTTTTTTTTTTTTTTTTTTTTAAGAGCTATCCAGAAGGAATCAAATTGACAACAGGTACTCAAAAGATGAGATACAAAGGTTAGGGGGCAGGGAGTTTTTGTTAATGGGGAGGAACAACTCAGGACAGGAGGGAGAGAATGGTAATGCAGCTCAAAGAAGGTCATCGAGGTCCCTGAACTGTACATGGAGAAATTGTTGAATTGATATGTATCTGCAGTGTGCATTCTTACCAATAGCCACAACGAAAATACGTGAAAAAACAATATTGTAAAAAATAACAGGTATGATTTTGAATTGTTTTCACTTAATATTGTAGCACTTAATTGTTATCACTTGATATCATTTCAGCAATTTATGACACCTTTTTGTTTGTTTTAAGGAGCTCTGGTGGCACAGTGGTTAAAGCTCTCGGCTGCCAACTGAATGGTGATTTGAATCACCAGCTGCTCTGTAGGAGAAAGAGGCAGCAATCGGCTTCCTAAAAGATTTACAGCCTTGGAAACTCTGTGGGACAGTGCTTTTCTGTCCTATAGGGACGCCTGAGTCAGAATCAACTCAGTGGCAGTGGGTTTGGTTTAGGCTTTGCTTCCCTAAAGATTGACAGCCTTGGAAACCCTTTGGGGCAGTTCTACTCTGTCCTGTAGGATCATTGAGTTGGAATCGACTGGACAGCAGTAGATTAATACTATCTCAGTGAATTACTGTACCTTTTTGTTTGTGTGTGTTTTACTTTTCCCAGTTCACAGCCTTTTAAGTTCTTGCGGATTCTTGCAGTTTTCCCTACATATCTATTTTTCTACATACAGTCTTTACTCAAAAAAGTCATTCTGAAGGAATTCTGATATTATATGTCCTTCATGTTCTGTGGACTAAAAACTGAAAAAAATACGTATTTTTTTTCATAAAAGATGCTTTAAGTACTTTGTAAAAAGAATACCTAAACTATTGTTTTGGCTAGTAGGATCATACTGAAACCAAACTCAGGGGAAAAAAAATCATTTCAGATGTTTTTATACAAGAACTTAATTCTTTCTTCCTGATAGAAAGACATAGTGTGTGTCTATGTATGTGTGTCTTTGTGTGTATTTCATTATCTGTGTATTAATTTTTTATTAGCATAATACAAGTACTTACACATTTAAAACTTTTCATCATCTTACAGCACGTGCAGGCACTTTTGGTCTGTCTCTGTATTCACTGCTCCGAACACTGTCTGAGGGGAACTGAGAATCTTCTGCGCTGTTAACATGAAAATAAGAGGTTCGCGTAGGTTATGACCCTGCTTAAGTTCCTACAGGAAAACAAGTATGCAGCCAACTCCGAAGCCTTTGCTCTCTAGGTCAAGCATATCAGAAATACCATTTGTGCAGAAAGAGAGGCAAAACAAACAAACAAACAAAAAATGCCCACAGTTTTCCATTCAGAAACCTGAGGTTATCATGCTCAGAGCTCCAGTCAGAACAAACAGAGTGCTGAACAGGTCTCTGTATAAAAATTGTAAACTTCTCCTCGTCCAGAGCAAAGAAGAATGAAGAAAACCAAAAATTCATGGAAACAATTAGTCCTAGCGACTGGTACACCATCCAATCTGCAGCCTATACAACTATGAGACCAGAAGAACTAGATGGTGCCCAGCTACCACTGTCATCCACTTGGAAGGGGATCTATGTAGGAGATCCTGGATAGAGAGGGAGAACAATGTGGAACAAAACTCAAAATCATTTGGAGAAAAAAAAAGGTGGGGGACCAGGTAAGTTTGCTGGTCTGATAGAGCATGGTGGAATCACTGAGACTGTGGTCCCTAGCTGCCCTTCAGGTCTGGAATTGAATCCATGCCTGTGGCTTCCAGCCAAACAAAAGACAGACATACGAGTTGAACATTTACCTCAAGTAGATACACTCCTTGGAGAAAACAATCATGGGAGAAAGTAGAGCTGCTTATGCACAGGGAGACAGCTCATGGGGCAGGAGTGTATGGAGGGATGGACACAGGGAAGAGGTAACTATTGGGAGGAAGTGGGAGGGGAGATGTTGCATTGTGGTAAACTGTGATCAATGTCATGAGACAAAGTGTATGTGAACTGCTGTATGGAAAGTGAATTTGTTCTGTAAATTTTCACCCAAATCACAATAAAAAAAAAATTGTAAACTTCCCTGCAGCAAAAGGTTACTGCACAAATAGCAAAGTGCAATGAAAAACATTGACAATATATGTGGAAGGAAAAGCCTCAAGAGCTGTGATGACAAAGCAAGACATAGAGATGAGCAGCAAGTGTGTGGAAGGGGAATGCTTGTCACTAAGCAACTTCATGAAATATTTTTTTAAAAAGAGCTTGTTTTAACTTCTCAAATTTACTTCTGAGATGACTGGAGGTATTCAAAAAGTGATCATGTCCAGTGTTGGCTGGGGCAGTGAGAGTTAGGGATTTATACTTTCGGGGGTGGTGGTGGTGGTGATGGTGGTGGGTGGATGGATCGTAAATTAGAAATATCTTTTTTGGGGGAAGAACCTGCGATTATGATTCATAAACTTTACAGATCAATAGACTTTGACGTTGACATTTCTACTTTTGGGACTTTATTTTAAGAAACTGAGATCGACAGTTGGCCTAAGATCTGCATGGCTGGATGTGTTTTGCAGCATGTTTATTTAAGTAAGCATGCATTATTTGGGTTGGTTCACTGTGTTCTAGAATATCAATTCCTTGGATTACTGTGCAGCCCTGAAATGGGATGAAAGAGATGATGGTACTGGATATTTATTTGTAATGTGGCAGGCACTTTTCCTGAGTGGTTCACATATAACCAAAACCAAACTCACTGCCATGGAGTTGATCTCAATTCATAGCAACCCCCACTGGGTTTCCAAGGCTGTAAATCTTTACAGAAGCAGACAGCCCCATCTTTCGTCCAATGAGCAGCTGGTGGTTTTGAACCACTGACCTTTTGGTTAGCAGCCAAATACCTTAACCACGAGACCACCAGAGCTCCTTGTTTTACATATAGTCACGCATTGCAGTGCTGCTACCCTATGATACAGATCAGCAGTTGCTATCAAGCAGACTCCAGCTAATGGTGACCCCACGTGTGTCAGAGCAGAACTGTGTTCCACAGGCTTTTCAGTGGCTGAGTTTTTGGATTTCAGGCCCCTTTTCCAAGGATCCTCTTCATGAACTTGAACCTGCAACCTTTCAGATTCAGCCAAGCGTGTTGACTGCACCACCCAGGGACTTGAGCATATAGATACCAACATACAGATGAGAGGATAAGGAACGTGTGTAACACACACAGCTAGTGCTGGGCAGAGCGCTCACACGGGAACACAGGCAGGCAGGCTCTGGGGCTGTGCCCTGCCGGGACCTGTGAACACTGCAGCCCACAGATGTAGCCCAGGGGTGAGCGACACACACGAACAGTTAGGGTGTCCAGTAGCCTGTGGATGTGATAAATAATAAGTGAGGTGCGTGTGAAAGAAGGAACCGGACACCATCAGACATTGCTGAGAGTAAAGTGAGAAAGCTTCTATGGGACCAGAGAAAGCTTCTCTGGGCATCGTTAAGAAAATTTAAAATATTAGTAATCTGGATGCACCAGAGCATCAGACCCTTAGCTGTAGGAGTGCTAGCAAAAGGCAGTGGTTTAAAGTAGGGATTTGTTTTCTCGCAGCCCTTTGGTGAATGGAATAAGCAGTGTGGAAGCAGACAGAAGGCAGCTGCCCACGCCCTCAGAAGCCAGAGCAGCTTTCCGTCCTTTACACTTTGCCCTGGTCCTCTCATCCCAGGGGACTTTGCTTGTAAGACTGAGGTCGTGTGTGTTTGATGTTGTAGGAAGCAGTGACATTCAAGGACGTGGCTGTGGTCTTCTCTGAGGAGGAGCTGGGGCTGCTGGACTCCCACCAGAGGAGGCTGTACCGCGACGTGATGCTGGAGAACTTCCGGAACCTGCTCTCTGTGGGTGAGGACGGCCCTCTGTAACCAGTGTGGGCCTCCGGGGTATCTGCATGCTCAGTTGTTTGAAGCTCTAACCCATCGTCATAGTCGAGTGGATTCCAACTCATAGCAACCCTATGGCAAAGAGTAGAACTGCCCACAGGGTTTCCAAAGCGGTCAATCTTTACAGAGCAAAGCCCAAACCGAACCCATTGTCCTCGAGTCCTTCTGACTCACAGCGCCCCTAGAGGACAGAGTGGAACTGCACTACAGGGTCCCAAGGCTGTCAATCTTTATGGAGGTCAACTGCCTCATCTTTCTTCCACAGAGTGGCTGGTGGGTTCAAACTTCCAACCTTTCAGTTTGTAACCAAGCTCTTAACCATGTGCTTCTAGAGCTTCCTTTTGAAGCTTGCAGACTCCGTGCTGTGTTCTGAACTTGGGCATCTGAACATCTTGGCAATCCTGGTGCAGTGTAGACAAGACATTTCAGATTTTTGTCTCCAGACAAAAGTCCTCCTTTTTAGTTGTCAATGAGTAAATTGGGGACCTGCCTGTTGGTTTGTCATGAAATCAGGTTAGTGAGTTGCTCCACCTTTTTTTCTCTTTTTCTCCAGAATGACAGTAACTGTTGATTAACTTGATACATATCTATTTTTTTATTTTAAGAGCTTGTTTTACATTGAACGTTACGTGTACATTTAGTTTCACTCCCCATTCACCATCCCCAACCCTAACCCAGTCTCCTCCTCTCCCTGCCCTGTAACCCTCCCCTGTGCCCCTCATAGTTATGCACTCCTGTGTGTCCTGCGTTTCCTCAACCTGAATGTTGGTCTTCTGTCTTCTGGTGCTCCGTGGTCCATTGTTCTAAGGAATGTATCTCCATGGAGTATGTGAGTGCATCATCCTGGGTTGAGTGGTCTGCATGTACATCTTGTTAACTATTGGGCTGAGAGCCAGCCCCTGGGGTGAGTTTTATTCCAGGTGCAGAATGTATTCCAGGGCCATAGTATTGGGGGTCTCATCAGACTTCCTCTGACCTGTAATTCTGGCAACGGCACATAACAACAACAACAACATTGAGTTTTTGGATTTTGTTCCACGTTTTTCCTCCCACTCTGTCCAGGATCTCCAGATTTGATCCTCTCCTGAGAGGTTGGCATTGGGAGCCAGGCACCATCTAGTTCTTCTGGTCTTGAGGGCCATCATGCCCTAGGACTGATTGCTTCCAAAAGCCCTTGTTTTTTTCCCACATTATTCTTTGCTTCCGATGCTAGGAGACCATTAGCTGCATCATAGATGGCTGCTTGAAAGCTCTTAAGATCCTAGTCGCTATTCACCAATGTAGGATGCGGAACAAGGCTTTTATGTATTTTGTTGTGCCAACTGAGTCTGGTGTCCCCCAGCACTAGTCCTGAGCTGGTAGATCTATTGGATCTCTCTCCCATAGTGTCTGGGTAACTGTGACAGATTACTCTGTGTCTGTCTTCTATTGTTTCTGTAATGATTTCAGGTATTTTGTATCACTGGTATCTGTGCAAGATTAGCCTTGCAATCTATCCTTGGTCTAGAGTATACTCCTGTTCACTGACCCCTGTCTGATCCTCTCAGGTAGCCTGGTGTTTGGTGTTAATGGTACTGCAGTATTGTGGACACAATGGTTGGTATTAGCATCTGTCGTCTATCTCTTATGTGCACAATTCAGTGTCCTTCCATTTCCTAATGTTATCATGGTGGTCACAAATCCTTTCCGTATATGCCTCCCCCTACCCACGTCAGCGTGTGGGCCCTAACTAGCACAAAATTAATCCCGCCCTTCCCTCCCCATCCCAGTAACCTACTAGGTGAGTTCCCTCTTCCAAGCAAACCCTTCTCTGTCTTTTTACAGTAATGGGCTCATGCAGTACTTGTCCTTCTGCGATTGACTTATTTCATTCAGCATAATGTCCTCCAGGTTCATCCACGTTGTGAGATGATTCACGTATCCCTCATGGTTCTTTCACGTAGCATAGGGTTCCATTGTGTGCATGTACCATAATTTGCTTATCCACTCATCTGTTCATGGGCATTTAGGTTGTTTCCATCTCTTTGCAATAGTGAATTGAATGGTGCTGCGATGAACATAGGTGTACATATGGCTGTCCGTGTGCTATCTCTCACCTCTTTAGGATATATTCCTAGTAATGGAATTGCTGGGTCAAATGGTACTTCTGTTTTCAGTTTTTTAAGGAAACACAATAGCGTTTGCCACAATGGCTGATATTTTTTAAGAACGTATCTGTAATTTCAAACTTATAGAAAATTGCATAATAGTGCTAGCTTCAGCAGCATATATACTAAAATTGGAATGATACAGAGAAGATTAGCATGGCCCCTGCTCAAGGATGATACACAAATTTGTGAAGTGTTCCATATTTTTGGTAATTGGGACTGTGAAATCAAATGTGCATGAGCTGTTCAATGTAAAATAAATTTGCTTTGTAAATTTGCACCCAAAGCACAATTGAAAAAAAAAAATTGTTAAAGTAAAAGGTAAAAGTATAATATAAAGAACACCTTTTATCCAGTTTCACCTACAGTAACATAATATACAGTATAGGAGCTCTGGTGGTGTAGTGCCTAAGGCACTTGACTGCTAACCAGAAGGCTGGCAGTTCACACCCACCAGCCACTCCTTGGAAGGAAGATTGAGCAATCTACTTCTGCAGAGATACTGCCTTGGAAACCCAAGGAGGGGTCACTATAAGTTGGAGACGACTCAAAGGCACATAACAATATATAGTGTATTCCATGCCTTCTCCTTCCACATCTAGTTGTGTACATATTTGAAATAAATATATGTGTGTGTGTGGGTATTCATAATGCTTTTTCCTGAACTATCTAAGGCTAACTGACATACAGCATGGCCCTTGACCCCTACATACTTGAGTGTCTGTTTCATAGGAATAGGACTATTCTCTTACATGCTCCAGTGCAGATGGAATGCATATATCTAATCTTTTGTTTGTTTCCCATTTTGTCAGTAGAGTCAGGTATATTCCTTACGGCATATTTTCTCCCTCATTCTAGAGGGATCTAGCCCAGGGTCTCGTCTGGTTGTTGTGTCTCTGTAGCCTCCTTTGATCTGGAACATTCCATGGCCTTTATCTGTTATGACTGGGATATTTTTGAAGATATAGTTAGCCCCACCTCTACCATTTTTCATTAGAATGTCTGTAATGTCTCCTCCTCGGTAGATTCAGGTTACCCATTCTGACTGGAACATGACGTAGGTGTGTCTTTCTCAGGGCATCCCATCTAGCCCATTGCTCTTGAGTCAGTTCCAACTCACAGCAACCCTACAGGACACAGTAGATCTGTTCCGTAGGATTCCCTAGGATAATCTCTGTGGGCGCAGACCACCAGGTTCTCTCTCCTGTGGAGCTGCTGTTAAGTTTCAACTGCGGACCTTTTGGTTGGCAGCTAAGTCCTTAACCATTGCACCACCGGGCCTCCTTTGCATCACATCTAGAGGCCCACAGTGTCCATCTGTGCCTTGCTGATGCAGTTAATTTTGATCACTCAGTCAAGATGTCCAGTTTCTCCATGGTATAATTACTGCCTCCCCTCTCCCCCTTAGATGGGGCAATACTTCAAGACCAGCAAATATGCTCATAAAAATTTCCCTTTAGGACCAGGTTTGCTGGTCTGATAGAGCCTGATGGAACCCCTGAGACTATGGCCCCTAGCTGCCCTTCAGGTCTGGAATTGAACCCACTCCTGTAGGTTCCAGCCAAACACAAGATAGGCATATGAGTTGAACATGTACCTAAGGTAGATACACTCCTTGGAGAGATCAATCATGGGATAAAGAAGGGCTGTGTATCACAATTTAAAAAAAAAAAAAAAAATCTCTGGGCTACAAAAAAAAAAAATTTCCCTTTAGATTCAGCGTCCCATGATGAAGCTTGCCTTATCCAGTCTCTACCATGATAATTACAAACTCATGATGTTCCAGTTTAGGAATCCCTTCACATTTAGTGGTTAGTGCTTGGCATGCCTTCTCAGCCATTTATTCATTTATTTGTTATTTGTAAGGATTTCTGAATTTTTCACAATTTATTACTGTAGTTAATTATTTTGGTAGTAAAGTTGTCCCACATTTGGCCAGTATAACCTTTAAGCTAACTCTTTTGTCTCTGTAACATGACTCTACTTTTTTTTGGACCACTTCCTTATTTTATGGCACAATATGATTTTTTTTTTTTAATTGTGATTTGGGTGAAAGTTTACAGAGCAAATTCACTTTCCATACAGCAGTTCATATACACTTTGTCTCATGACATTGACTACAATTTACCCCGATGCAACAGCTCCCCTCCCACTTCCTCCTGAAACTTACCTCTTCCCTGTGTCCATCCCTCCATGCACTCCTGCCCCCTGAGCTGTCTCCCTGTGCATAAACAGCCCTTCTTTCTCCCATGATTATTCTCTCCAAGGAGTGTATCTACCTCAGGTAAATGTTCAACTCCTATGCCTGTCTTTTGTTTGGCTGGAAGCCACAGGTGTGGGTTCAGTTCCAGACCTGAAGGGCAGCTAGAGACCATAGTCTCAGTGGTTCCACCAAGCTCTATCAGACCAGCAAACCTGGTCCCCTTTTTTATTTTTCCAAATGATTTTGACTTTTGTTCCACATTGTTCTCCCTCTCTATCCAGGATCTCCTCCATAGCTCCCCCTCCGAGTGGTTGACAGTGGTGGCCAGGCACCATCTAGTTCTTCTGGTCTCATAGTTGTATAGGCTGAGGATCGCATGGTGTACCAGTCACTTGGACTAATTGTTTCCATGAATCTTTGGTTTTCTTCATTTTTCTTTACCCTGGAGGAGGAGAGACTCATTGTTGCATCTAGATGGCTACTTGCAAGCTTTTAACATCCCAGTTGCTACTTGCCAAAGTAGGATGTGGAACAATGTTTTGTGTAGTATGTTATGCCAGTTGAGCTTGATGTCCTCTGCAACTCTGGTCCTGAGCCCACAGGTCCAACTGTTCACTCCCTTTGGGTAGCTAGCTGTGGCCAAGAGTGACTACAACCTTGACCCTTGTCAGCTCTACTATATAGCTGGGAATTCTTACAGAACATAGCAATACACTTGTAGAAACATGTCTGCCAGCCCTATACATGGTCTTGGGCAACTCCCCCCTGCATAGACATACCTAATAGTTCAGTCTTCCCACCCATCTATCACAATATGATTTTTTATAGTTATCTTTTACTTGCTTATTTACTTAAGGACCTCTGGTGGTGCAGTGGTTAAAGCATTCATCTGCTAACCAAAAGGTTGGCAGTTTGCACCCACCCACCAGCCACTCCATAGAAGATGAGGCAGTCTGCTTCTGCAAAGATTTACAGACTTAAATACTCTATGGGGCAGTTCTACTCTGTTCTATAGGGTCACTGTGAGTCAGAATCAACACAGTAGCACTGAGTTTTTGGTTTGGGGCTTTACTTATTTTGCCCCAGCTCTGGAATCATCCCTTTCTCTGTGGAACCTGGTTACTTTTATTAGAGATTGGTATTCAGCACCAAAGTCTAGATGCTGTGTATTGTCACTGCCACTGTGGTATTTTTGTTTCAGAGTACAGAAGTGGGAGGTCTCTCTCTGTATATATATGCATGTATGTATGTGTGTGTTTAGGTAGGTATATATGTATATAGCTCCATGTGTATATAGTATATATATGCACACATACACACACTATTACTACTTCTCAACTATTATTATTACTCAACTCTGTATACTACTACTACTACTACTGTATATATATCTGTATCCTCCATATATATATATATATAGAGAGAGAGAGAGAGAGAGAGCGAGCTCTGGTGGTGTAGTGGGTAAGACATTTGGCTGCTAACCAGAAGGTCAGTGGTTCAAACCCACCAGCTACTCCATAGGATGAAGCTGAGGCAGTCTATTTCCATAAAGATTTAAAGCCTTGGAAACCCGATGGGGGTTGCTATGAGTTGGAATCAACTTGATGGCAGTGAGTTTGTTTTCGTTTATATATTCATATACAGACATACATACATACAAATATGAAATAGATGTACTATTTCATTCAATGTAAGAGAAATATAAATTAAAATTACACTGAGAGTCCATTTCTCACCCATGAGATTGACAGTATTTGTTTTTGGCGAAGGCCTTGGGGAAAGTACTCTCATACGTTGAAAGAAGGAAAGCTAAATGGTCCATGTAAGTTGCCTTCCCCAGCAATCCACTTCTAGGAATTTTCCCTAAAGATCACAAAATACAAAAGAGCATTGATACTATACCACAGTTTGTGTAAGAAAGAAGGGGAAATGTGTGAATATGTGTGTATCTGCTTATCTTTATAAGAAGAAACAGAGGAAAGATTAACTAGAAAATTATGAAGTCTTGTTTCTTTAGTAGGAGGGAGGTAATGAGATAGAAGGAGTGTGGGAGAGAGTCACCCTTTCCCAAGTACACCTTTTTACTTAGTTTGGACTTCTGGAAATACCTTAGTTCAACATATTACAAAAATCAAATAAGAATGCAAAGAAATGATAAACTAAACCTCAAAGGAAGATGAACTCAATTGTATTTGAAATTTATACCATAATTAATTGAGAAAAAGGAAAGAACTCAGGGAAGTAGCTAACTCAGTGCTCAAATCATTTCCTTCTTTCAGAAGGATCAGCACAAGGCTTGTCCCTGTGAGGCAGAGGTTAAAGATGTCCCAAATGTCCCAACTTTTCCAAACTGCTGTGCCATTCCATCATCTCTGACAAAAACTTCTCCTACTCCCATCAGTACTCTCCCTCCTATCTTAGAGTTCTGTGTTTTACTGTAACGTCTCACAGAATTCACAGTCTGACAAGGAAATGGCTCATCTGGTTGTGGAGGAGGGCAAGTCCCACCTCTGTGGGTCAGGCGTCAGTCTGGGGGATTCTCCTCACTCATGTGGTTGCAGGAGCTGATGAACCCAAATGGGTAGGTCAGACAACTGGCTGCTGCCTCAAGGCCCACAGACTGGGAGTGAGACGATGACGGCCCAGACGCAGGATCCAGAGCGAGAGAGCGAGCTTTGTGAGAGCATTCACATATACACCCTCAAGGAAGCTGAGGATGGTGGCTTGAGTCACACCATCCAGTAAGGTGGGACTCAAGATACATTCCACCCTAATCCTGCCTCATGACTATAATGGACAACTCACCCCCAAATGGGACCACAACCACAGGCTCAGAGGCTAGGATTTACTGTGGCTAGAAGGGCCATGTTAAGTAATTCACTACACTGTACACAGTTTGGGGTATAGTGTGTAGGGGAGGAGATGTGAATTGTAATCTTGGCCACGTTTGAACAGGCTTGTTTATTGTAGGAGCATGGAAGGAGCACCTCTGAAACCTACTCTAGACACTACAGGTGTCGAGGCAACTCACTGGAGAAGGTGTAATCTTTTCAACAGCTGGTGCTGGAACATTTGGTCATATATATGCAGCAGATGAACCTGGACCCATGCCTGACACTGTACAAAGAAGACAACTCAAAATGGATCATAGACCTAGTGTAAAATGTAAAACTGAAACTTCTAGAAGGAAACATAGGAGAAAGTCTTCATAACCCTGGGTTAGGCCGAGTTCTTAGATACGGCACCAGAAGCATGACTCAGAACAGAAAAGACTCAAGACTGGACTTACTCAAAATTAAAATCGTGTGTTCTCCTGCCTTTTTATAGGGCTTCAACCCTGCAAGCCAGACCTGATATCCCAGTTGGAGAGAGAAGAAAAGCTTTTGGTGATGGAGACAGAAACCCAAAGAAATGGGTGTTCAGGTGAGCTCTAGTGACCAATAACACAGTAGCCAGAGAGTCCCTTCTCATACACCATCAGACATGTCGTTGCTTAAAACTCTCTGGTGGCTTTCCATTTTCTACATGTTGTTGTTGTTGTTAGGTGCCATGGAGTCAGCTCCGACCCACAGAGACCCTGTGTACAACAGAACAGAACACTACTTTGTCCTGTGCTAGTCTCACAATCTTTGCTGTACCTGAGTCCATCATTGCAGCTACTGTGTCATTTCATCTCATTGAGGGCCTTCCCCTTTTTCACTGACCCACCACCTTACCAAACATGATAGCCTTCTCCAGGGAACGGTCCCTTCTGACAACATGACCAAAGTAGGTGAGACGAAGTCTGGCCATTCTCGCTTCCAAGGAGTGTTCTGGCTGCACTTCCTCCGGGACAGATTTGTTAGTTCTTCTGGCAGTCCATGGTATTTTCAGCATTCTTCCCTAACACCACAACTCAAAAACTTCAACTCTTCATTGGTCTTATTTATTCATTATCCAGCTTTCACCTGCATGTGAGGCAATTGAAGACACCATGGCTTGGGTGGTTGTTGTTGTTGTTGTTGTTGTTGTGTGCCATTGAGTCGGACCCAACTCATAGCGACCCTTCCTTGGGTTTCCAAGGCAGTATCACCACGGAAGTAGATTGCCCCATCTTCTTTCCAAGGAGTGGCTGGTGGGTTTGA